TAACAATTCATTCTTTCTATCTATTTATCTCAGTCTGATTCTATGTCTGTCTGTCTGTCTGCCCATCTATCTATCTATCTATCTATCTATCTATCTTAGTCTTTTCATTTTTCTCTCAAACGCTGAATTTATTTCAGTCAGTCCATATCTATCTATCTATGCCTGATTCTATATCTATCTATCTATCTATCTATCTATCTATCTATCTATCTATCTATCTATCTATCTGCATAGGTTCGGTTTACATTATAAAAGCGTTGGTTAGATGCAGTAACTAGACCCAAAGAGTTTTGAGTTCAATACCAGGCCACAGCAGTGGTGAACCAAAACTTGGAGAGTTGAGTTAAAGGGAAATAACCGAGATAATCGGAAGAGGCATGGCCCGTGGAACTAGAACAATCTACCCCGGTGGACGAAAGAAAATTACGGGTCTTAAGAAACCTGTTTTCGTAAAAATAGAAAAATTGGCTGCTCGGTCCACGAATGTCAAATGTTTCCTTATAGGGAAACGAATAACATTACCATTATCATCTTTAATTCCTTCCTTGTTTTTCCGTCAGATACTTTCATTCATGTTTACTTACTTTCATTCCGTTCCATTCATTTCTTTTCTCTTTCTGTCTTTTCATCATTCCATCTCTCCGATAATTTCTTTCTTTCTTTCTTTCTTTCTTTCTTTCTTTCTTTCTTTCTTTCTTTTCAGCCTCCCATCTTTCCGATTCTTTTTTCTTTCTTTCTTTCTTTCTTTTATTTCTTTCTTTCCAGCCTCCCATCTTTCCGATAGTTTGTTTGTTACTTTCTTTCTCTTCAGCCTCCCATCTTTCCGAGTCTTTATTTCTTTCTTTCTTTCTTTCTTTTCAGCCTCCCATCTTTCCGATTCTTTCTTTCTTTCTTTCTTTCTTTCTTTCTTTCTTTTCAGCCTCCCATCTTTCCGATTGTTTGTTTGTTTGTTTCTTTCTTTTCAGCCTCCCATCTTTCCTATTCTTTCTTTCTTTCTTTCATGACCTGCATTTAACGAGTAATATGCGATATATCCTTTATTAAAAAAAAATTATTCTATCAGCTTCCACGGCTCTACGGAAATTGGTCTTTGCGTTCGGTTTCAAATTCTAGCCGTGGCAGTTGCAATCACTTTTGTACAAACATCCTTGGAAAGGCATGAACCCATCTTTTCTTCCGATGCGGACGAAATGGCATACTTACTGACCGATGCTGATCCTAGAATAATCATATATATATATATATATATATATATATATATATATATATATATATATATATATATATATATGTGTGTGTGTGTGTGTGTGTGTGTGTGTGTGTGTGTGTTCTTTGATACGAAGGCTCTTGATAGAACATTCTTTACGTTTGTAATAACAGCAAATCTATAAATAAAGCGACTCAGCCCTATCGTAAGCGATTACGAGTATAAATAACTTTTCTCGTATCTCGACTTTGGCCAGTTGTCAAAAGTCTTTTGTTCGCCAAACAGAAGGGCATAGCCACGATCTGCGATTTTTGCTTATCGGTACTGATAAATCGAAAGAAATTCCGTTTTCTCGAGCACCACTTCTCTTCAGCCATTACAGATTCCGACACACACATATACCCCCCCACATATATATATATATATGGAATCATATTTTAAATAAATAATTATATATATATATATATATATATATATATATATATATATATATATATATAGTGTGTGTGTTTGGTGCCAGTAAGGGCTTACGATTGGGAAAATAGGTTTTACTTTTGCAAGTGCTTGCACACTTATTCGCTTCTTACCCAATCATCATAGCGAGACAGACACTGACAAGATTCTTTATCGAAGTATGAAGGGCATGAATAAATAGGGAAGTTAAGCATAACTTATTCCAGTGATTCTCAGCTGCCGTATCGCGGCTCACTAGTGTGCCGCGCGATCCTCTTAAGCGTGTCGCGAAATATTGTCACAACATATATATATATATATATATATATATATATATATAAGATAATCGTTATATTTATTTTTTATGTTTATATTTTATTTGTAACCTGTAGTCGATATTAATTTTGTTAAATTTTCTTAATTACACAGCGGCCCTTTCAGTAAATGCCCTTCAGTTTTAGTTTTCCTCGTCCCATCTCTCTCCCCCACCCCTTATTCTTTTCTTTTCATCTCCCTCCCTCTTCTTCTGATCTTTAAGATTAGACCGTCTATTGTGTGTGTATGTCACTACGAAATGTATCCTTTCCGGTTACATCTTTAATGTATTAGACATCCGACAACATTCATATTTCTCTCACTTAAACCTCTTCAGCTACCTCTTTAAAACTTCTCTCTGTTAAGGTTTAATCCCCCACCTTCTCTCGTCTGTTACCCCTCTCTATAGCTCTAACATTTGTCCCACACTCTTATACTTACACTCTCTCTAAATTTTATTTTTTATTTCCGGAGTTGTTTTTTTCTGTTTTCTTTTTTGAATTTGTAGGTCTGATGAATTGAATTGTATTTACGATTCCAATGGAATAAATTATGACCATGGAATATTAGTGTTTAAGGCTTTTTATATATATATATATATATATATATATATATGTAAATAGTTCTGAACATGAACAATCCAGAACTATTTACAGAAATTACAAAATATCTAGACCTAGTAAAAAAAAAAAAAAAAATTAAAAGCAAACACCAATCTAAAAACCTAAAACACATACTAACTTCCTCCAAATTTAACCAACAATACAGTGAGTCAAAATGCAACAAAAAAAGATGTGGCGTTTGTAATATGATTATAGAAGAAAACTTCTACACTTTTGAAAACCCCAAAACGACATTCATAATAAATGAAAATTTAAACTGCAACTCCAAAAATGTGATTTATGCATATATAATTATATATCAAATAGACAATTATTCTAATCTACAAATGCAAGAAAAAAACTTCATAAACAAATTTAAACCAGCACTAAATAGATCATAACCCCATACGCAAAAAACACACAATATGCACACATAATGGCCAAATACAGTGGTCAAGCCACTCGCATCCATTCGCACACACTCACACGCGGGTGTCTGCGGAGGACGAATATGTATACGTATATTGGTAAAAACAATAGACTACTCACAGGCCCGCGCGCAAACTCTACACAACATAGGAAGTGCGTGTATGCGTATGTATGTATGTATGCATATGTGTGTGTATGTGTGTGTGTATGTGTGTATATTAATTTCTTATAAATAAACATTATGTATGTCTAGAGAGGAAATACGTGTATACATACGCATACTAGTGTATATATGCATATATTGGCAAAAACAAGACGCAGAAGAACTTTGTCATTGCTAGTTCAATGAGGAGATTTGTGTCACTGACACACGGAAAAGTAGAATATTTAACATCGAGAATGTTTAAAACCGAAAAACATGAGAAAAATTAATTCCTTTTAATAATATGTAGAAATATCCACTCTTTGCCAGATGAAGGTCGCAAGATCGGAAACGCGTGTAACAAAATTATGGAAAATAAAGCATATTTAAAAAAATAAATCCACATTACAATTAAAAACGTTTACGGTTTCTCTTTTCTTTTATATAATATAAATATATATAAATAATATAATCTTAGAATAGTGAAAAGAATTATTTGAAAAAAGTTTAATACTTATTCATCTATTCTAATACTAACGCTGTATATATATATATTAAAGACATTTTTATGTTTAACGTTCTTTTTATAGATACAAGTATTTAAGTAAATGCTCTGTTTATAATAAACAGTATTAAATAACATTTACCGGCCTGAATGTCCGAGAAATGTTCATAGAAAATATTCATCCTTTGACAGGATTACGAACCTGCATCCTATACGGAACCGTCATTTACGCTAACGTGCCTTGACCGCTCGGCCACAAAGGATCGTTCGGGTGGCAAGGTCGAATTTACTGCTTATAAATTTACTGCTTATAAACTTCAATCTTCCATGAATCTCATTCATGGAAGATTGAAGTTTATAAGCAGTAAATTCGACCTATGTATACGGAATAAATTCCAATAACCAAAAAATACTATTCTTAAAAGAGTGCCCAATACAGAATAGACCAAATATAATTTATTCGAAAATTATTACATATAATATGTTATAAAATCACTCCATTCAACACCATCACTTCATAAGACACCAGATGTGTTGAAACAAAATGGCTATTTTTGTAGTGATTTTATAACATAATTATGTTATAAGTTTCGAATAAATTATATATATATATATATATATATATATATAAGGGGGGTCGGGTTAAATTTAACAGTTTTTTAAGGGAAAATAAAGTGAATACCTAAGCTCAAAATCAATTCATTATTGGAGAAATAAACATGTGGCATACAATCAAAACAGAATTGACTCAAAGAAGCCACCCCCAGCATCTACCATGGCCTCGCTCCGACTCCGAAATCTGGTACATGCGGCCTTGACGGTGTTACTAGGGTGCGCCTCAAACACCTCCTTGATCCTGTCGAGTAGCTGGGCTTTGGTATTACAGGCAGAGCGATTGATATTCTTCTCCACCGCGCCCTACACATAACAATTCATTAGATTACAATCGAGGGTTGGGGCGGACGTTGGGCTGGTGAAATCGTAAAAAAATTATCTGATAGTCACTTCTGACTCTTCAGGAGCTGAATCTTGCTGCCACACATATGGTAATCCAACAGTCACCATTTCCAGCCAAGGCTTGACCACGGACTCCACAATGCCATCCGAATTGAACCTGAAGATATCAGGTGTCATGACATTACTACTACTGGAGACACCAAAAAACACCACAGTTTTGGTAAACGCTCTTCATGACACGAGGTGTGTATGCACAGTAGTCATTTTGACGTCATCTGGTACTCTCCATGGACCCACTAATGTTTTTCCAATAATAACACCCCAGATCATTATGCCTCCATCGCCTTGTTGGCGTCTCAAACGCTGATGGCGATTCTGTCCGTTCATTACCCAGCCTTTGCACCATCTATCTGGCCCATCAAGTGTTGCTCGAGTTTCGTCTGTGAACAAAACTTTAGAGAAGTCAATCTTCATATTGTCCTCGGCCCATTTCAATTGATTTTGAATGCGATTTCTCGACAACGGAGGTTTGACTGTTGTTGATATATCCTGGTCATGACAAAATTATTTTCATCAAAGAAGAACCAGTTTGTCTCTAGTTCAACAGGATGTTTCAACTTGTTCAGCAGTTTCTTTGCCTTTGTCAGACGGTTTTCTAGGGATTTCTCTGGAAGAAGTTGACCTTTACACCTCTTCTATGACTGATAGCGGAGGTCGTCATTCAAAGCCAGCTTCAATGTGAAAATTGCAACGCCCGTTTCTTGTGCCAAAAGTCGTATTTCATTGCCTGGGTCTTCCATCACTTTCTCCTGCAGTTGTTGGATGAATTCTTGGGTACAGAGGCAATCAGAATGTCTGCCGTGTTCCTTCCTACAAGTCTTCGTTTCGGTTATCCATTTCCCGTCTTATTATTACCATGGTGTTCAAATAAGCATTGAGCAGCTGTCATGATTGCGGCATTTTGATGCCCAGCACGAATCATCATGATACAGGTTAACCTTTTCCAATATTCAGGTAGCTTCCACTCGTCCTTATGTTATAGTGGACGCTTTTTATTTGAAATAGATATCGTCTATGTGTATGTGAAATCGTAAAAATTGTCTGTCAAAAGTCTCCTAGAGGTGTGGCAGGGACCTGATTCTTGCTGTCACACATATGGTCTCCCAGCAGACACACTCGCCAACCAAGGCTTGACCGTGGCGTTCAGCAACTCCAACCTTTTCCAATATTCAGGTGGCTTCGATGTCAGTTAACTTTGACATATTCAGGTGGCGTCCATGTCAGTTAACTTTGACAAATCTAAAACTAGGTTTCACAATGTCGTTTACAGATATTCTAAACCAAACAAAAATTAAACTGTCAAATTTAGCCTGAATATATATATACCCTCTCTCTCTTTCCCTGTCTTTCTCTCTCTCTCTCTCTCTCTATATATATATATATATGTATATATAGTTACAAATTACATTCATGAATTAGACTCAAACTGATAAAGATGTTACCTTAACAGTCATTTACAATATTAAAAGATCACTATAAGTAAACCTTTATATTTTAAATATTTTTGTAATGTGTTTTTTTTATTAATGTATTTTTAAATATAGTATTTAACTCATATTAAACCCTTAATTTATTTGTAAAGGAGTTAAATATTTAAATTGCTAACAAGCATTAAATTAATTTCTTCGTGGATTTTTTTAAACATTTAAATTACTATCAAACATTAAAATCTGTTTTTTTTTTACCTAAATTGCTAAAACTATACCATCCCTCTTCTTCCTCCGTAAACCCTAAATACATCTTCTTTCTCTTTACTTCCTCCTTCTTTCTTTTTTCTTTTCCTTTTCTCTCTTCTCTCCTTCCCTTTCAACATATCATTTCCGTTACCCCCTCCTTCCTCAATATTAAGTATGATAGAAAGAAATATAAAAAAAAACCCTCTCTAAACTCGACCATGTCTCTCACACCACTCCTCGCCAACCTCTTAATACTAACCGTCAAAAGTGTAAATTTTCATTTCATTTTTCGTTTCACCTTTGGAAAGTGATGTCTGAGGATACTTTAAAAGGCCTCTGGTGAAATAAACTATTACAATGGAGTCTTAAAGTGGTCTGTTTTTCTTTAGATTATTAGCTCTGAATTTACATTGAGCTCTCTGAATTTCACCCTCCTTTGGACTACCCATACGGATTACCAAGTTAATATATATATATATATATATATATATATATGCAATTATTTATTTAAAAATATGATTCCAAATCGCTACATAAGAGGTCTCATGTTTCAAAACAAGAGCCGAAAACTTCAATATAATCCTTTAAATTAAATTGGGTTGAAAGTAAAATGGGCTCCGTTCCATCTTCAAGCGAAATTTTTGTTGGAATAACGTATATCTGAAATTTACTTCAATTTAATTTAAAGGATTATATTGAAGTTTTCAGCTCTTGTTTTGAAACATGAGACCTCTTATGCAGCGATTTGGAATCATATTTTTAAATAAATAATTACATTTATGCTCTACTTTTGTATCGAGCACTATTTTTTAAAAATAATAACTAAAATACTAAGGGACTTTGGATTATTTACCTAACCAGTTCCTTCCTATTTTCTATATATTTTCACACACACACACACACACACACACACACACACACACACACACACACACACACACATATATATATATATATATATATATATATATATATATATATATATATATATATATATATATTGGCTCACGGTTTAGAATTTTTGTATTCCTTTTTTTCGATTCCTGACTGTAAGAAAATCTTTTCAGAATTTGAGGTTTTATTTGCACAGGTTCATAGACAATTTAAAAGTGGGTCAAGAGTGTGTCTATTCTTCCCTGTTTGTATGCGCTACC